ATGTATTACAATACATACATACTTTTTTCTAATACATGTTATAACATACGGAAAATGCATTGCCCACCCATCGAAAATCACCACGAGCCGCCACTGGTTAGACATAACTTCCCTAGCTCCTGAAGCACACCCCCCTTCAGCAAGTTCTGAATCTTAATAAATTATAAAATATGATGCTACAAATTTACTTATACACATTACATATAATCTTGGCTTTCAGTCTCTATAATCTAATATCTAATTTCTGGATGATTAGCCAAGTTTTGGTTAGCGTTTTATTATCTTCCTAACATACATAGAAAATTTGGCAACAATCGATCCAGTAGTTTCGGAGATTACGTGTTTAATAAAAAACAACACAGACACCAGACAGACAGACAAACAGACGGAAACGGGAGATCAGCTTCTTCGTATTCTTGGTCATGAAACGTCGAGGAAACATGAAAGTGGCAAGTCGCTCAAGAAGTAAAAATATATGATAAATCAAATTGTATCCTTACATCAGTACGTTATAACAGTACCTACAATATTTCACAAATTTACCTTAATTTTAAAGTGGATAATAAATTTTAACATATTGAATTGTGTGCCTTTAATAAAGCCCAGGATACAATTTATATGCTCATCTCGAGTGTCATATGAATCCAGAATTTGAAAGTTCAGTATTCTTTCCTGATGCCAACAAGTGCCGAACACTTATAATGTAGTTATTTGGGAGTGTCATCGTTCTCTAAGCACATTCTACATGTGCCATCAAGCCAGGTCGATGGATGGTACACTTGTATTCATTTAGGGGGCTGTGTCCGGAATTGTCCGGCTCGAAGGACCATGGACAATTCTGGGGTAGAATTGAGGGGAGTTAGTAAAAAGCCAATAAAGCTTAATCTTAATTTATTCAGAACAACCTAACTTATTTATACAAAACTACATATTTGCAATGTATGAGTGTTTCTAAACTAAAAGTAATATTCAATATGAAAATATGTATATGGCGTCCCAGGTTCTGGCGTTTTCTATTGTTCTGGTGCCGCTGTCTTCGTAAAGCTGACGATGCTGCTGTTGCGGTGGTCAGCACTTCGTAATGCTGGTGCTTGCGATACCGATGTTTCCGCGTTCTACAGTCTCGTCGTTTTCTTGACCTCATTATTGGTTGCGTAAAGAAGAAGTTGAAATTTAAAAATTATTGTTTAAATTTAGGATTTAAACACTCACTGTAATTCTAAGATCTTTTCTACAGTCTCACTGACCCTTCGCTGTGATTCTATATCAGTTTGTCTCTCTTGGATCTTAATCCTCCCGTTCCGACTCTTCATTTTCTAAATGATAAATCGGATGAATCGCTGATCCGATGAATTCAGCTCCAGCCGACAAATATCGCCAGTATTTATTTTATGAGCCAACCTTATTGAGCCCAAACTGATGTCGTTTGACGTTCTATGGTTATTTCTGTTACCTATATAGCGTTTGTGATGGTAGGGTGCTGCATTAAAAGTTGTGAAAAAAGTTTCAAATTGTATAAAATGCATTTAAAAAAGGAAGGTGGCGAATTCAGTTGGATTTTATTAAACGGGAATAAAACGTGCTTCTCCAAGTGTCGCTTGCTATAAACCTGTAGTAATAAACAAAAATTACCGAAATATTGCACTTCATTACCATTATTATTCATGATTGTCGGGTTTTATTTATAGAACCGTTTACAAAAAGCTACTGTTTGTTATCATAATATAAAAGCTTTTTACTTGTTAGGTATTATTTCCTGAGCGTAAGCTAAGCTTTATAGTAATCGAATCCATCAAGCAACTTGCCACTTTCATGTTTTCTCGACGTTTCATGACCCTTAGAGTACGAAAAAGTGATCTCCCGTTTCCCTCTCTCTCTCTCTCTCTCTCTCTCTCTCTCTTTCTCTCTCGCTAATCATCCTCACCATTTTACAATTTAGAATAATAATTTTTTTAATTTTTTAAAATAAAACACTCGTTCATCACAAAATTTTGTAATAGAAAAACTCACCTGAAACAAACAAGTAGCACGCTTCTTTACCTTTACTTTCACATTTCATAGGTACATATCTTTAAATTGACTTATAAGGGTTTTTAGAAAACAACAAAATTCGCAAAATCACATCTTATAATTTTTGGAAAAGACTGGATTTGTTCTACTGTACTTTAGGAGCGAGGGAAGTTCTGTCGGAATAATCTTCGATCAATTTTTTGTCAAGCGTTGAACATCGGTTGTATTCAGGGGTCATTACGCTCTTAATAAGTTGTTTATTAATTATTATCCATCTTTAATTTCTTAACACAAATCATTTTGTGTTTTGCTTAATTTTCACATTCCAGGATTTATTCATGACCCAAAAAGACGGCTATTTGTGCTATTTAGTGTAGTGTAGTGGAATACATTAACGAAGAACTGTTTTATTACTTGACCCCGCTGTGTCATTTTGGACACATTTGTCCTGAAATTACAGTAATAGTTTTTGCTTTTTGCGTATTTGCATAGAAAAAAGGCGGGATTTTCGAAATGCTGCAGGGACAAAATTAGAATAATAAATCTACCTATTTATTTTCGACTAACTTATACATTGTTTCCCTTAGTCCTACCTACAACATATTAATTAATTATTAGCAATAATATAAAAAAAAATCTTTGGTAAAAAGCTCCCAAGTTTTATTTTTCTTCTTAACTGAATATTGCTCTGTGTTTTCACGGGTGTTAATAATAATAAGTGTTTGTTTCCTAAAATATATGTATAAAATATAACAATAATAATAAAAATAAATAAGAAATTGAAATTGTACTAATATTGTAAAAAATTGGTCGAAAGTTGTTTCGACTGTACTTCCCTCGCTCCTGAAGTAGGTACTATAAACATATTCAGCATTTTCGAGTTGAGTTTTTTCTTTACACAGTTTTATGATTACGTCATTAACATTTTTGCGAGGACATGTACAGTTCTATTCAATGAAAAATGGTACAGCATATTTAGAGTATTGTAAACGTTCTTGTCAATGACAATTTAGTGACAAGATTTGTCAAAGAAATCCGTCTAATATTAGTCGATATCATCATAATCAATTACAGTTTGCATTTGTATCTCCTCAAAAATGTTTACGTTATATCACGACTGGAATATAATTGGTTAATTTGAGTTGTTACTGTAAATACAGTAAAAAAAAGTGTAGTTTTAGGAATTAGTAAGCGCTGGGAACAGGACCACAAGAAGATGTCGCTCGTTTAAATCATCCTTTTGATTCTGCGAGATACTGAGAACTGCAACATATAAATCGAAGAAAAGGATATTCGAAATTTGATCCACTCAATGCTAAATAGGCTAACGGAGCCACAGTCGGAGCTATGACCAAATACTAGTTTTAAATTATTGTTAGCATTACCTATGTTATTTGAAATCACAATTTTCTCTAAGCGTATGTGTAATAAATTTGTATGTGTTAATTTTACTCTCATTTTATGTTAGGTCTTGGAATAATAATGTTACATTGTTTATCGTTATTAGCTCAAAATTAGATAGACAACCAACAATACTATTATAGCCCAATTCACACCAGCAAAAATTATTAGAAAACGAACATTTTATTGAATACGACTGTACATCAACGTATTGGTGCATTCTAATAATAAAAATAATAGTATTGATGTATTCCAAAAAATTTATGGGAAAATGGAGTGAACCGTTCCTGATTTAATCAATAAAATAAATTGACTCATTCATTAATTTGTTTGAGCCACCTGTATAACTAAATCTAAAAAATATGAATGCAATGATAAATCACAAGTCACAAGTAAAAACTCATCATATTTTCCACATTTTGAATAGAATTTAGACGTTATAAATTTTTTGGGGGGTAATAAACATATACATTTTAATTAAAAAGTTACCATGCTTACAATAACTTCAAAACCTCTACACGATTTCAAAGTATATAGTTTTGTAATTCTTGATTTAATAAATAAAATAAATTGGCTCAGTCATTAAATTTTTAAGACACTCTGTATAAGCAAATCTAAGAAATATTAATGCAGTGATAAATCGCAGGTATAGGCTTATCATATTTTGCACAGTGAAGAGATGATTTATTCAGCAATATTTTGAGGTGACGTCTTCAATTTTTTTAGGGGGGATAAGTAAATACATTGATAAAAAAATTAGCATGCTTATGATAACTTTAAAACATCTCCAAGATTTTGCAGTTCCTGATTAAATCAATAAAATAAATTCACGCATTCGGTCGTCAGTGGTAGGTACGATGGTCTTTGTTTAGAAAAGCTGCCATGGTTTGACTTAACTTAATCGCACGACATTGTTTATTATGTTCTACACGACTTTCATATCTTATTTTGATGTCGTTTGTACCATGGTTGATACTAGACGGTCAGTTATCTTTCTTGTTGTGCGTAACAGACGATGACAAAAATAAACTGCTTATCCAGCGCTAACTCGAAACAATATTTTTTTTACTGGCAAATTATATAGAATTGTATACATTTAAAAATCTTTCTAGTATAACTACGCTTCGGCATCGCGGAAGTGATGTGTCATTGGCGTCCGTCAGCGACTACTGTAGTCTTAACAATTACTACTTTTTCCAGGTTCCCGTCAGTTAGAGGAGCTCTCCTATATTTTCAAATTTCTTTAAAAATTGATAAGCTAAACCCTGAACTTAACGCAACAGCACTGAATTTGAGACTGCACAGTCGACCAGCCAAATGTATCTATGGCCTGACGTCGCGCCCGCGTATTTATTATTTGTCTGATTGACTGCTCGTCACTTCGGGTCTGTATAACTATGATTATAACGAACAAATATCTGAACAATATAATGCATAAATTGATTTATTTTATGAAGATCATTCTCAAATTTAAAAGTACAGGAATGTTAGCCTTAATGTTGTGTTGACGAGGCGCCGCTGTATTGCTAGAAGAAAAACAACCTAACCCGAGTAGTGTGAACTGTGGTGTGAACTGTAGTGATATTCGTGTTGTCGTTGTGGTATTTCTTGTATGTCAATTAGTTAAGTGAATGCGTTGTTGTGTGAAGTAAATATAGTGGTTTTATGTATACAAGGATTTTTTTGCAATAACATTAAACAAAAAACTCAGCACGAAAACATCAAAATGATGATAGACTATAATTTTAAAGCAGGCATACATGATATAGGTTAACACCGTATGACGTTGGCATCCCTGTCGAGCCAAGCTTCCAAACAACTTGATGGCGTTTGTTGTTTTTAAATTATAAACAAAATGCCGCCCTAATTCTCTGATGAAACTAATATCCTGTGATAAATGGTATTACTGAACAGCCCTTCTGTATATGATTTAATGTGTAGTTATTCGTTGTGTAATATTTAAAATGGAAAGTGTGAAAACAAACGACGAAGAGTTAACCTCAACAATGGGCAATCTACTGTCATCTAGCAAAGACGACAAAAACGATGCTAGTGATTCCACACCGACGTCTTCCACGGATGCATTTACCACGACATCGACCTCACAAATAGGTTTGCAGTGTTTGCTTTGTTATTTTAGCGCGTAACGATTTTTGTGCATTTCCAGCGGCTGACGACCCCATTAGCAGCACCTCGTCCGATGTTTTGGATGCAAAGAAAAGCACAGAAAAAGTTAACGATGTTGCACAGAGTTCTACGAATGTTATTAGTAGTAATCCTGTTATGAGTTCATTGAGAGATATGTCTATGCGAGATCACTCGTCTCCGATTGTGTCCGAGAAGGATTTGTTGGATATGAATATAACAGACACTTCGACTGAGAAAATTACAGAAAATGTTGACGATATTGTGCAGGATTTGGAGAATTTGTTGGGTGAACCAACAACGTCATTTCAGTTTACTATCAGGATGAAAGACTCAAGCAGGAGCTCCAGTTCTATTATGGACAAAGATCTCTCCATGGATCTTGACGCCTTTTCGGCGGAACTTCAAATGCTTTCAGGTAAATTTTTAGATGTAGATGTTTCAACAAATTGTATGCAAAAAAAAAAGACAATGTATGGTGTAATACAACATACTTTTAACAATGTTACCATGATGCATCTCTAATATTAAAAAAATAAATACATACTCAATGGACAGAAATATCTTAAATCACAGTTTTATGTGCACTTTGGTGTTTTTTGTGGTTAATTAAATGTAGCTCCTTAAAGTGTCTCAATGGTCTGAACTCATTTTCTGCAGTTGTTAAGAAAGTATTTTGACACAACCCTATATTGATAAAGATCAGTTGTAAGTTTAGGGTAAATAATACTGTACTTACATTCTTTAAATGGAATACTTTGCATTTATTTGATTTTAAGAAACCACAAGTGGCGGTTGTAATTATTATATCCATTAATTAATTATCAAAAATAATTAGTATTAAACACTAATTCGTCCGTAAATGTTTACTCATTGGATAGTTAATTTGATATGTAGAGGTCCCATGAAATAGTGGAAACTGACGCGATATGAAGATGGATATGTAGGCAACCAAACATACACCTTTCGTATTTGAATTTACGTGGCTAGATTAACACATTGGCGTAACCAAATTTAAAAAAGTTTTGAAAGATGATTGCGATAGTAATTAGAGAGAAGTCACTCTTAGCAATTAGAAAACGAGAGCCCGAAAGGTCTTCTCTCCCGGCGTTTATGCGTACTGCTGTTTTGAAAAGTTTCGCGTACACACCTATTTTTTTCTACATTGATTTTCATGGTAATAATAATTTATTAACGGAAATCCATTTACAAAATCTTGACACTGACAGTAATTGTACGCGAAACTTTTTTTGCCTTTTTTTTCTAAATAGATAGCCATCTTTTCACAACAAGAAACTTAAAACATGGTTAAAATGGTACATTTTTGCAAGAAAATATGAATTTTGCAATTATGGGGCGGAGCCTAATTGCAAAATCGATATTTCCTTATACAAATTTTCTATTTTAAACATGTTTTAAGTTTCTTATTATGAAAAAAAGTCTACAGATATTAAAACAAAAAGGCAAAATGTAAGCCCGCCCACCCGCCCTATCTCAATTGTGATGATTTTTTTATTCGCCGTTCACCAAGGAGGTGAAGCTTAGCTGCAAAATACTTATTTCTTCCCAATAAATTAAAAACATGTTTTTGAGTATCGTGTTCTTCAAAGGAAACTAAGTATATTAAAAAAAAGGCAAAATATTAACCCCGCCCACCCACCCTTTCTGAATTGTGTTGATATTTTTTATTCTTAGAAACTTAAAACACGTTTAAAATGGTACATTTGTGGAACGAAATATAGATTTTGCAATTAGGCTCCATCCCTAGGTCTGCCAACGAATGAAAACTTCGTTACTATTTAGATCACGGCAGGTATGGGTGCGGCTTAATCTTTATCTTTAATTTTTTCGTAATAACGTAGTATTCTTTGAATAACACGATACTCAAAAACATGTCTTACATGGTAATTTCTTCTAGAGAAATAATAAGGATTTTGCAATTAAATTCCGCCCTTTTTGGCTCTCTACAATTAAATAAAATCATCACAATTGAGATAGGGCGGGTGGGCGGGGCTTACATTTTGTCTTTGGTCTTAATATTCGTAGTCTTCTTTTCACAGAAGAAACTTAAAACGTGTTTAAAATGGCAAATTCTTGTAGACATAGTGGATCTTGCAATTAAGCTCCGCCCCTCGATCTGACAACGAATGAAAAATTCATCACAATTGAGAATTAAGATTGGGGCGGGTATGGGTGTGGCCTAATTTTTGGCTTTATTTTTTTTTCTTAATATACATAGTATTCTTTGATACACGATACTCAAAAACACGTTTTTAATTTCTCGTAGAAAAATAAGGATTTTGCAGTTAAGCTCCGCCTTCTTGGCTCACGACGAATAAAAAAAATCATCACAATTCAGATAGGGCGGGTGGGTGGGGCTACATTTTGTCTGTTTTTCTTAATGTGTGTAGACTTATTTCGACAACAAGAAATTTAAAAGATGTGTAAAATGGTACATTTTTGTAGTAATCATTTTCTCTAATAAAATTTAAAAATGCAGTAATGTTGCACCCGTTTGTATTTAATAATAATAAAATAAGAATTATCATAATAACAGCTGCTTAACCAAAATAATATGCAGAACGTTTTGCTCCATTGTAGCTTAATTAATAATTTTAGTCGTTTCCTTGTTTTGAAGACCCAAAATCATTGAAATTACTCTCCTAATTCTGTTCACCCAGCAAGGTACATGCTTAATGGTCGTATTTTTTCGATGTGTAAACATGAACAATCGAAGTTAAGTATGTACTAATAATACGTATATGTTGGTTATCTCCTCATATTGTTGATACCTGCCCTCCTCGGTGCAGGAGCTGCCGTTGTATTATTTACTTCAGTGCATAGCTTTTTCTTTACCTATACTTTAACAACCCACGCATACTTTTATTGTAACGTATAGGGGTTGTCATAAAACATAAATAAAATTCGCAAACTTAAATTTTCTTATTTTTCGAAGAAGCTGTATTTGTTCTAGTTTATTTCAGAGACAAGGAAAGCTCTGTGTAAATAACTTTAGACCATTCTATTTGTTCAAATAAGTTTTAGTGAACGATTTTTGGCATATTATTGAATATTTTTCTTGAAAATTCACGCAATTTTCCTAGGCGAGCTATACAGTTGCTTCCTATTAGCAGGATATTTTCACATTTTTACGGTTTTTGGATTCAACATAATCATGCTATTATGTATAGTTTTAGTTGGTTAGAAAAATAACACCCAAGTTGTATTTTCCGAATTTTTAAAAAATGTTCGGCTCTACATCATTTACTTGACAAACATATTACATTTTGGTGTATTATAGTATAGGTATATGTGGTTGAAGCTATTTTTATCCCGTAATTCAAAACAAACATTACTATACTTCCGTTTCATCAGAAATTATTGTAAAAGAATTTTGAAAATGACAATGCAACTTTATTTATATTTGTGATGTTTTTTATTAAATATCATTTAGAAACAGTATGATATGAGGACTAACTTTTATTACATCTCAGGTTGTACATTAAAAACTGTTGTTTTCTTCTATTAATCCTGTTGATTTAATGACTTGATGGATTTTTTATTACACTATAAATCATGCCTGGTGTGTCCATAAAAATATTTTTACTAAACTAATAAGTATTAACTGATTGAAGATCCTTCAATATTATTTTTTATTCGTAAGTGTTTTAAGATAACAACAAAATTTGTAGTTATTAAAATAACTTCAATACAATAAAAACAACAACAAATCTATCATAAGTAATCTAAGGAATTTGTTTTCTGTGTACTTTTTTACAATAGGGATTATTAACATTCTCTGATTGTTTCTAGAACAAACTACCAGCCCTAAGGAAATCTTTAAACAAAAGCCAAAAGTCGACGAAGCTGTTCCACAAAATAATGTCGTTGAGCCTCTAAAACCTGTCGTCAGTGAAACGCTAGATACCACAGAGAAAGCTGACAGGGAATGCCTAGAGAGTGCACCTGTACTAGAAGAAAAGGAAAGCTTGCCGCTTGCCAGTCAAAGCAGTGAACTTTCCGCAAACGCGAATGACATCAAAACAGATACGATAGAAAAAATTAATGATCAGATTGAAAACTGTCAGTTCGAAATAATATCCGCAAGTAGCGCAAATACAGAGGTGATTTCAGTTGAGAAAAAAGAATTTTCCGAGGCGGAACACATAACGTCGACGCAGTCAAAAACTGAAGAAGAAAGTTGCCCCACTGTAGAGGAAACAAAAGAGATGCACTCGAATGATGTTGAAAACACAGAAAATGCAGTGAAAACTACCGACACTTCAGCGAGTTCAGACGAAGTAAAACCGCCGTTGGAAAAAATCGGCGATAGTGAAAGTCAAAATGTTTCTGAGGAGGTAACGAGTGAAGAGAAGGAGCAAGTTGAAGAAAAAACTGTCCAGCTTGAAGAACAGATCGTTAAAAATGAGGCAATAAATAATAAAACAGAAAAGAGCAGATTTGAAAGTTCCCCACATGAATTTGATTTAGAGGGTGCAGCTGAGGCTTTACCAAGTAAATCCGATGTGCAAGAACTAGAACGATTATCTCCCAAAGAAAATGAGCAAATGGAAGTAGAAGAAGTAGTTGAGTCATCTAGTTCATTGGAAAGTATAAAACTTGGTGATGTTCAAAACTCCGAAACTAGTGTTCAGTCCGAGGATCAGAATGTTGTAGAAGAGTCAAAAGTTGAAAGTGCAGTAAATATAATAACGAGTGTGACAGCTGAGCCACTAAAAGAAAACTTGACGGTTACCGAACAAATAACCAAGACTCCAGAGTTTACAAAAGATGTTGAAGAACCAGCAATAACATGTCCAATTGTTAAAGAACTAATTGAAACAAGAACTGAAACACTTGATTGTATAGAAGGCGTCGAGAAACCATCAGCAACGTGCACATTGGTCGAAGAAATAGATGAATCAAAGACTGAAAAACCTGAACAAGGTGTTGAAGAATCAAAATCAATATGCCCAGTTGTCGAAGATGTAGATGAAATAAGCACTAAAGAACTAGAATCAACAAAAGAGGTTGAAGAACCAGTAGCTGCATGCGCAGTTGTTACAGAACTAGACGAAGCAGGGACTGAAGAACTTGAGTCTTTGGAAGGCGTTGATGAACCAGCAGCAACATATGCAGTTTTTAGAGAAGTAGATGAACTGAAGACTGAAGCAGTAGCATCTATATCTAATGCAGAAATTAAAAATGATGCTACAGAAATGGTAGGAAACCAGGAAACGTACGAAGAGACGGTTACTGGTGTTGATGAAACGTCAGTAGGTGAAGTAATTCAAGAAGAAGAAAAAATGGAAGTTGATGAAAAAAAAATGGAAACTGGTACTCCTGTAAATGATACTAATGAAGAGGAAAATACGAACCTAGAACCCAGCTGTACTATCAAGAAAGAAGAAATAGCTTTACCTGCCGAAAAAATTGGAGTTACAACTACTTGTACAGCAAATGATGAACTAGCGGACAGTGATACTACAATGAATAAGAGCAAGCAGAAATCTAAAGTTGAAATTGAAAATGATAAGAGTGCACAGACTTTGGAAGGAAAAACAGAAACGTATGACAATGTTCAAGATGAAAGCATACCTATACAAGTAGATAAATTAGTTGAAGAAACTTGTAATACTCAAACGGAAGTGCTTGCGATTTTCCCTGAATTAGTGGACCAAACGCAACCTGTATCTTCCTCCAGTGAAAAGGAAAATGTGTCCGACATCAGCGACCTCGAAACACAAATTTCTGACAAAAGTGAACCACCAACAGAAGTTACAAATACAGACGAAGACAAAAGGACAAGTGATAGCGCGGAAATGTTAATATCCAGTAAAAGTGAAGCCACTGATACTTTAACAGATCATCAGAGTAAGGTAGAACAAAATGTGGTTGCGGTAGATGAAACCGTAATTTCTGACTCTACAGAAGTGCAAAAAGATGAAGTTTCTGAACAAATGGATACACCTGATCATATAGAACTTCAACCTGTAGAAACGTCCGAACAAAGCAAACTGTCATCGGTTGAAATTCCCACGTTAATATCTTCAAATGAAGGCCTTAATGTTATAGCAGCAGATCTCGAAGATGTGTCTACACCCGTCGATTTTATTTCTGATAGTATGGACATTTCCACACATTCACTAGCTGATGATCTTGACTTGTTAGTTCAAAGTGCCGTTAACGACGATGCACCCGTCGAAACTCCAGCACCCTTTGAAGACAAGAACGAAACTACTCTGGAAGTTCCAACATCCTCAGACGATAATTTGAAAAGTTTAGAAGGTGTCATCGAAAACAACATATTGCCTTTGGCGATGGAGGATGTTCCAGATTTAGACGTTCTAAACGCTATATCAACGTTAAGCGACAACAAATCGACAAATATTATTCCAGATATGGACCAGAATATGCAACAGAGTGATGCGTTGTTAACGTCGAGTTCGTTAGAAGAGACTTCAACCGGTGACACTCCTTTCGAAGCGAATATCGAAAATTCTTTGCCAACAGTCGACGAAATTTTTGCTGAACCAAATCAGCAGCAACCGGTAGAGTTGCCAGATGATAACTTGGAGACGTTATTGGCTGTAGCGAGTTTACAAAATGTCGATTATAGTATACCACCGGTCGAGGATTTTACGCCACCAGTCGAACCAGTGTCGGACTTTGTTCCCGAGGAATCGGTTCCCCCTGTAGGAGCGGTCCCTAATTTCGTTACCGAAGAATCCGCCACTCCATTGAATGTTCAAAGTTTCGTTCCTGAGAAATCGGCTACTACATTAGACAATCTACACAATTTTCTTCCCAAAGAGTCTATACCGTCAGTAGATGATGTTGCTTCTTTTGTGGAAGATACATCGAGGCTTCCAGTCTCGAGTTTTGTGCCAGAAGAATCTGTTTTTCCAACTGAAGATGCCCGCTTGGAACCTGACGAAGCAGAATTTGTCCCTGCCGAGGATCCACCGAAAGTTGAGCCCAAGGAACTGCTGACTGGTCATTCTAAGTCAGGAGAATCTAAAAGAGTCGATCAAACAGACGAGCAGGTTGTGCAAGAAGATAAATTGAAAGAACCACTTGTCATTAATATAGAAGACAATGATAAAGAGCGAGTGTATAGTCCTAAAATTACGATAAAACCCATTAAACCACCAGAAGAAGAAGAGACGGTGTCGAGTGCTAGTGGGGAAAATGAAAGTCCTAAAGGTTCGCTGAAAATGACGATCACCAAGCAGTCAGATAACACACATTCTATTCTCAAAATCTATGACCCCGATGACGATAATGCACACACCGACGTAGATCACCATCAGTCAGAACAGTCTGTTCCAAAATTGATAATCAAACCAATCATACAACCGAACGAGCAGCCTCAGAGTCCGAAGATGACCACCAGAAGCTCGAAACAAGTGTTTAGCCCTTCAAGTAGTACAAGTCAGAGATCTGCGAGTCCTAGAATAACGATTAAACCTATACCTAAACCAGAAGAATCCGTCGCACCTCTGAAAATCACTATCAAACCGGTTTTGAAAGCAGATGAAAGTCATAAGCAGAAACACAGTCCGAAATTGACGATTAAACCGATTCTTAAACCTGAGGAAGAGTGTGTCGAACCCAAAGTCCACAGTCCTAGAGTAACAATTAAACCCATTATTAAGCCACCAGAAGAAGTGGAACAAGTCTCGAGTCCTCGAATTACCATCAAACCCATTGTGAAACCCACTGAGAATGTTACAGATTCTACTCCGATTACTCCCAGAGTAACTATTAAACCAGTTGTCAAACCGACGGAGAAAGACAAGAATGCAGATCTTGAACAGGTAGAAAGGTCCAGCCCGAAAATCACCATTAAACCTATCTTAAAACCTCAAGAAACGGACTCTGCTCCAGCGGACGATTACGAGGACTCGATCAAAGAGAGGATAGTGTTGAAGATCAACAAAGGCACCATACCTAGCGGCAGCAAGGAGCTGCGAAAACGCGATGTTCCTCAAGAGGAAGAAAAGTCCGAAAAACTTACAAAAATCAAATTGAAGTTCTCTAAAGAAGGCGGTCATCCACACATCGTACAGGACCAGTCACCGACTAAACGCTCGGCCGAACAGGTCGACCACGACAAAACCAAAAGGTCGAGGCTGGAAACGGAACATTTTCTTCCCGGGGTTACGATAACGCCAATTGGTCCGACGACGCATTCGAAATTAAAAGAAATGTTAAGTCGGCATGATAACATGTCGACCGATAAAGTGGTGACTATTGACGATGATGACGATGACGTTACCATTGTGGAAGAACAAGGAAAACCGTCACCAATTGTGATCAGTGAAGAATCAAATCAAGATAGTATTTCTAATGCAGCGGTCGACATTCGGGATCCTATTTCTGAAATTCCAGTGTTCGAAATTACTCCCGAGAGTGTGAAGACCATCAATCCGCAGCTTGCGGTACCTGTTGCTGAGGTTCCGGCACCTTTGCCAGCTCCAAGGAAGCGGGGAAGGCCTCGAAAGGTTAGTTTTATATTCACTTTTGTATAGATGTCCTAGATATATCGTAAGAACGGATAGATATTGAAATTCTGTAAACGCCAATGGTTTTAGTTTGAGGGGAAAGCTGAATTTAGTACATTTCAACAATTTATTTTTTTTTGAAATATTGAATTAAAAACCGGCCAAGATAATTTATATCACAAAAATTGTCAGTGAATGCTTGACAGCATTAATTGTCTGCCAAGTGTGTCGGTTCCTTGAATACTAACAAATTCAAAATACCTAATTTAAGGGAAGTTGATAGGGCAAGAATAGTCACTGATTGGAACACAGGAGAAGAGTATGGGATCTGAGTTTACAACAAAATTATATTAATCAATTAAATATAAAATTTACTTATATACATTTTTTTTTCTAAACTGTCTTACTTGTCATAACATTTTAAATTCTCTCTTTAAATTCTGTAACAAACTATGAAAAACATTGAAAAAGTGACGTTTATCTTACTGTCAGTGTCTCATTTTAATGAAATTACTAGTATCCTTGCCAAAAAAGTCATCACAAAATTTTATTGTGAAGAACTCATTTAAAACATATGCATTGCATGCTTATTTATTTATAATTTAATAACCCATACATAGATATCTTTATTTTAATTTACAAGGTTGTCATCAAAAAAATTATAATTAAGACAAATTTTTATGTTTTTCTGTTCCAATTATTCATTTCATTCATTGTAACAAATACTACTTTATCAATTAACTTCATTAAATTTACTTTTAACAAAACCTAAAACTGATATATCAATTCACAAATACTGCAACTTTTTCCTTTCAGTTCTCAGTCTAATGTATTTTTTGCTTGTGCGTAACTGCTTCTTTTTAATATAGTTTCCCCACTTCTAATTTGGTTTTATGATAGTACCCCATTGTGTAAAAGTTAACTTCCTTAACACTAGATTACTACTGCCGGTGGTGGGATAGTCATAAATAAGGATTTAATCATGCCGTTGCAATTATACTGTTTAATGGTTAAAATGGAAACTATATTTTTTGATTATTATCTTTGTACCTTTTATAACTTTTTGATTGGGGTGGTGACAATTCAAGACTAAAGTCTCGCAGACGGCGTAGAATTGCATTTAATCATTTCCATGACGATTTACTTTCACGAACCAAACTGTGACATCTCTTTACTAAAGAAAGTCTTGTAGAACATTCTACACAAATAGTTAATATTAAAGCAGCAATCAGTCATGCCGAAATGACAGCTGAAAACTTCCCTAATCAGAGTGCTGAAACTTCTTTCCGATAAAAACAAGAAGCGTCAATTGTCAATTACAGAAGATGTAAGTTTCACGTTTTCAGTATTACGTCAAATTCGCTCGAAATATTTAGTGTGGTGTATGGTATTTGAGCTTGGATGAAGGCTCCTCCGTTTTTTACGTTTTCTTCCAAAATCAGTTTTAAAATGGCGTAAGAAATTGTCTCTCTTACAATTAAAGACAGGTTTCAGTGTATGCAGGTCCGTAAAATTGTATTAGTTCAAATACTACTACTACTCCGTAAATATATAGAATAAAGTTGTATTAACCTTAATCTACGTATATTGTTTGTATTTTTGTATAGGTTCCTCTGCAAGTGCGTGAGGATTTCAAAGACCCCAAAGAAGAAGAACCAAAACCAGTGATCGTTGAATCGACGCGTCCCAAGCGCAGCTGTCGAGGTCAATCCGTGAGGACGACACTCGGCATAAAACCGAGAAAACCCCGGGGTCCTGGTCGCGGCAGGGGGAGTAAGAGGGGGATGGGAACCAGAAGCACCCCCACACCGCCGGAGACGCCGCCGAAGCCCGCCAAGGTGAGTAACGATACTGTCCCAAGGTGCATTGTAGCTGAATACTTTTCTTTTTAGTTATCAAAAAAACGTTGAACTGGAACATGAACATATTTATTTTTTCAATGTTCAAGTATTTCATAGCTTTAAAAAGAAGTCTGAGAAATTTGTTAGAAACAAAAAATCTATCTAGTGCATGTTTATTTGAGTTGTTTTTGCGGAACGACAGATTTTAGTGAATCCTTATTTGTTCATAGATCTGATGAATATTATATTTGATATAGATTGAAAAATATTTTGTATTTTTTTTATTATATGAATATTAAATTGTTTTAAACTGGTGATGCGATTTGATTTATGAGGAATTTGAATTTACACTCACCCCAACACTGTCGAAATACAAAATATGTCATTTGTCCAGTTTAAGCGTACGGGTGGCCCAACATTTTGAGCGAACGCGAAATTATACAATTATAATTTTAGTATATTTGGTTAAAATTATTCTTAAATGTTTAATCGGAAAGTGTTTGTACGAGATACGTTTTTGTATGAATTGCTTTACAAAATAATGTCATTTTTATTTGAAAAACAACTTTTAAAAAACGCATTTTATAATTATTTTCCGTCGAAAGACAACAAAATAGTAGTTATGTAGGACTAGCAGGATTGCGCCATTATTAACTAATCAGATTGGAGGATTTAAATTTCCTGCTACAAAGTAGACCAGAAACAATAACTGTTGATCGTCACTATACGATGTGGAAAAAAGTACATTTAAGGTGCTTCAGTGGGGAAAGCATACTTTTCTAGGAGGCATTTGATTTCATTTGTATACGTATTTCCTTTAAAATTGAAATCTCAAAGTCGCATTCTTTAGACATTTAAATTGTTTACGATGGCTTTACTATTATTCAGAACATCAAATAAATGTATTAAAAAACTGAAAATTCATTTACTTATTTATAACACTGAGCTGAAAGGTTGTCCTATCGTAAACCCTAATACGTTAGTGTCCTGTATGTGTTTTTTTTTAATTTGAATTTAAATAAACCGAATGACACTTTAATGTGAACTAAAATAAATTCTAGCTCGAGTTCTGTCGCATCAGTACTGTCGAAGAGTCCACGGGAAATTAGTAATCTTTTGTCGCCAGACCGTTAGGACACCTTGTATTTTTTTATCTATTCAATCGTCGTTTTTCTTTTACTGTAAATAAGATTTTTTCCGAGTGGTTATATTGATTTTGTAATGAAGGATGTCTGTTTACAATAAAGACGTATGAATTAATAATAGTCACCTTTTTTTATTTTGCTCGCTGGTAATTTATCAATCACTACGATTTCAGTGTTTAGCGAACGGTGTCATTAAATTGTTTAAATAATTCCGACCAACATTCACGATAATTAATTAATTACACATTGCTTACCACTACATCAGTTTCGCGTATTTTCGTCTCTTAACATCATTGACGATTATGCACGACAAGCCCCCAAGTTGCAGCGAGTTAGTTTTAAAATATTCAAAAAGAAGGGGAAGACAGACTAAAATATTAACTCTAATTACCCTTCATGATTGAGACATCCGATTCTGCATCGTTGTCGAACATACAAAACATTAAAATACGCAACTTTGTAACATACTTAACCTTAATTTTACCTATTCGTATCAGGTGACGACAAAAAAAAACCGGCTATAATAATGCACAAATGGATCGCACGTGTTCTGAATTTTAAATAAGTATAATTAAACCATTGAGTTTGCAGTATACTGCTACATCAATTATCTTAAAAGTTTTGTTTGAAATTCCTCATGCTCTTCTTTATCTGTTAAATTTTCATATTAAAGAGATGTTTTCTCTAAGCCGCTTAATGTCATCGACAATAATAAGAAAGAAGTATCATTTATTCACGTTTAGACATGCAAATCAATCAATAACGAAGTATTACCGAACACGAGTGCATTTCAAATGTGGTAAGTCTATTTAGTGCCGCACTGGGCTATGGTCCATATTACATCTTTTCTGTTAAGTGGAAACAATAAACACAGTTGGAGTATATGAGTGTCAAACTTGAGTGGACAGGAAAACTTGGGCCTGCTCATCGTAGAGGTAAAATTCTAATTACTTTTTTTTCATTTATTTACCATAAATCACACTGAAAGTATTGTGGATTAAATAATACGACAATTTATATGCTAATAATACTCAGAAAAACGATCAGAAACAGCTAAATTTGTCTTTTAGATTGTATATTTTGGACGTCATTCAAATGAAATAAAAAAATGTGGTTTAAACTACAGTGAAAGTTTACACAAACATCGGTTTTCCACGGTCACTGAAACGTAATTCCACAAACTGTCGTAATTTTTTACTAATTGAGCGTAAAATTGATTATCCAGCGTATTTAAACTCAGCGAACGACAATTTGAGTGCTTAAACGCAAAACTACCATTTGAATAAAAGTACAGCTTGCGGTCAAAAATCTGTAAGAAAAAGGGTCTATTTCGTAAAACTAAACGTAATTTAGCGTTTTCCGTTTAATTTGTCTTTTTTTGTCATCTAGTGGAAATATAATTTTTGACCTAAAATATGCTTACAAAGGTATTAATTGTTTTAAAAACAATATCAACAAAAAATGTTCCCAAAACTAAGAACGTATTGTAGGTGAAATGTTAATTCTCCCAGACTTTAATAATTTTGCCGTTGGGCTTGATCGTTGTAGGTTAGGTTACGTAGAAGTGCACATGTTTGAAGAATTATCAAAGATAAGACTATTAAATAATATTGATACTACTATGCAAAATATGTTGTTAAATTGTTCGTATTTGTTAAAAATCATAAATTTTGAATTTATTTCAAGTATTTAGTTTCCTTATTGTATGTCGAATATAGCCCTATAGGTTTTTTGCTTGTAATAAAATTCAGTGGAATGGCTTGGATTTTTTTTTTACCTAAATAAAAATATTGTCAGAAAATTTTAATGTATCTTTCATTCCAAGTGGGACCACACATTTAGAAACAAATTAAAAACGTGGAAAATTTTCTAAATTCAATATAACATAATGGATTTTTAAAGTAAATTTAATGTTCTCAGGAAAAATCAAATTAATACGTATACAATTTTGTAAAATGGACATGGTAAAGCAGATGTTTCTTTGCAAGATTTTGTTCTGAAAGCAAATTGAGTTTACAAGAGGATATTTTTTTTATTTATTTTGCAGAAAAAAGTCAAAGGAATGCTAATTTTAGGACTTAAACAACGTTTATTCGTTTTTATCTTTTACATTAAAATTAAAGGTTCAGTTATAAAAATAACGGGTGTTCAATTGAAAAATCACTCGAGTAGACGTTGGAATATCTTTTGACACAAACGGCATGTCTGTTCTTATGACATAGTACACAACAGGTTATGTTTGTACCAATCGATGTTATAAGAACAGACATGCCGTTTGTGTCAAATGATATTCCAACGCCTTCTCTAAGGGATTTTCCAATTGAACACCCGCTACAAATTTCCACTATTTTGTGACGGAGAGCAAGAAGAGTCCCAGTTCTACATCATAATATGCAGGATTCTCCTTAGTACTTCCGCTCCCCAATATTTTTGGGACAGCCCTGATCTTTTCCTCAATAGAGTCTTCAATATATGATTCAACGACTTACCGTTTCAAGAAGGTTAAGCGACCTAAAATTTATCATTTGCTCTACATCCACCTACAAACAAATGAAGAAAAATTATTACCCTCACAAACACATACTCTTTATCTTCAGCTTTTTCCAAAAGTGTTTCGATTTCTCGCGGAGTGAGCACCTTAGATTTTTTTGAACAGCAGCCAACATTCAGATTCTTCAAATAAGGAACAATAGCCCACATACTTCAATATTAATGTTTTCTCTGGCCTTCAAAGTAGTTTTCAAAATTGAAATTAGGCATGTTATTGTTGAACAAAGCGTGTGCTACTCACCCTTTCATCGAGATAAACCAAAATAATGTGTTCCGTCACTTCATTAACTCCATTTTCCATTGCGTAATTACCTCGTACACTCTCGTACCCAAGTTTTTTGTAGGCAACAATTTGGCTCGTAGTTCTTTCTATTTTTTCAATATTTCACGCTGAATATTTTCCGATATTTTAACAAAAAAATATTTTTGCCGAATCTTTTCGTAGAGTATCCGCCTTACACAGCTTCCCATTACGTTAGCTTAAAAACGAATTTAAGTATTATTTGAATGAATTTCTGTTAGTGAAAAAAATCTTGAAGACAACACGGGTTTTGTAGTTTAAAAATCTCGTCCTATTTAATTCTCACTCCCTTCGATTCTTCGGATTTAAACTACCAACTCGATTTTTAAACTGCCTATAAAATCATGGTTGTCTTAATGGCTATAAAATAATGCAGATTTTTTAAAATAAATTAATTTTTTTCTAGATAATTTAATTGAAAAATTTGTGTGCTCTATATGAACACCTATTTTGTACTTCGGTCGTTTTAGCTGTAGAATTAGTTGTACTAATCGAAGCAACAATTTTTATTCTGTTGACTTTTTTTGAAAATCACAAACAAAAATTTATTTCTTCTTGTAGACTCAATCCGATTACATTTACAATGCAACATATTTATTTTATTTTATTAAGTTTATGTTTTTTTTAAAATAGCGCAACGCGTTAAATGAAAGAAAATTAATGTTACTTTGCAATGCGATTGACTCAAGATGTATACAGTATTTACATGAAAATTACTTTCACATTGATTATACTGTTTAAGGAAATAGAAAAACACAACAGTATAAATATTTTTTAGTAATTCGTTGTTTACGAAGTTTGGAATTTTGTAATGGGTCTAAGAAAAGGATACTTGATGTAATATTTTGTTTTAATCGAACATTATAAAAATAGTACAAATTAGAGTTCCATGTTAAATAATCATTGTGTATAAAATTTATTACACCGACGTAAGGGCAAGCTTGCAAGCTCTAGATTATAGAAGGACAAACGATTATCTAAAAGAAAGTTCATTGTCCTTTTAAACTAACTAAACCTGCTCCGGCATCTATCATAATTGTTCCTCAAGATCTACGGAAGCAGTGTCCCGTGTATTACTTTGGAGTGAGTAAATTTTAAAAAGTGGGAACATTTTACTTAGTATATTTCTGCTGGCTTTTCAGTTAGTATACATGAAAAAATTAAGTCTGTTGGTAGATTTGCGGTGTATTTTCATATACCTTCAAGTAAGTTTCTTCTACCATAAACAAACGATTCTGGTTTATGGTTCTGTTGTTAGGAATTTTCAAGCAATTGCAGTCTTGTATCATTTACGTTCACTCGTACTAGTAAGAGTAGGTTTTAAGTATTACCCTAAGCTACAAAAATTTATATTATATATCATAAATATTTGATTGAACCCTATGGTTCTTGCTACACTAGTCGTTTCTGGCGTTCTAATAGCGAAATAAGCTTTTGGCAGATAACTTCGACCTAGAAGAAATATGCTAGAAAATATTAAACAAGAAATTAAACACATAAAATCAAAAAGATCCCTTCCAACGAAATTGGAATAAGAACAGAGGGTGCATGTCGAATGCTTGCAACGATACGGTTTTGAGACAAAATCACACAACGCAAATACCGTTTATGATGGATATATCGGCTGAGTGTGTCTTTATGCGTTGTGTTTTCTTTTTTTTTTTGTAATAAACTCATGAGAAAAACATGGTGAGCTATAAAGTTTGTAAATCATGGGATGAAAGTAAACAATCTTGAAAAGACACTTAATTTTCATAAGTTTCCCCGTGACACATTGCTCCGCCACTTCTTAGCGATACTTTCGAACCCTGGGGCGTGGTTTACTTGAGTGCAGAGCGGTCGGTACCACACATTTCACCGTTCTTATTTCAACCTCCTCGATCCTTTCTTTACCAACATGTGACTAGCTTTTCTTGAATAGATAACGAAGAAACCGAATTTGTTCTCTTGTTAATCAGCCGTAGAACATCTCTTTAACTTTTTTCTGTGATTTGCTGACTTACTTCCCACACCCTAGGAAAACAAGACCAATCAGGCGTTGCCCGTTTGCTGCGATATAAATTCACAAATTTTAAACGATACTATAGATCTTTTTGATTTTATGTATTTAATTTCTAGTTTAATATTTTCTAGCATATTTCTTCTAGAGCTATCTCGTATTCTTTCGTTGATAACCAGTCTTTAAGTTATTTTTTTTTAAACTAAAAAACGCAAAAGACACGTGCACTGTTGCAATATTTTTACTGTACATTCGTATACAAGCTGGAAAAGTGACAACAATAGAACAGCGTGTAAAAATTAACGATTTATTTAGGGAAGCAAGTACCATATGATCGAGGGGCAAAAACCGTGTAACAATCGTTGAAATTTAATGTTAAAGAATTAAGTTGGCATTATCTTCTTGTTTTCCGGTCAATCAATTTGACATTTACGGTTAACTAAGCATCAAACAAAGAATCAAAAAATCAATGATGACGTCGTTATTTTAAAAGTAGGGTTTTGTTGCTTATCAGACAATCTTTTATCAACCATGTGGTCTAAACCTACTATTTTACATCAAATTTACCTGTCGATAAAGTATAACATTGTGTTATTACAAACACCTAGACTAAATAATTTTAACTTCATTTAGGTAGATACCGTGTTCGAGAAATAGTTAACATATTACCGATCAAGAATTTGGCATCCACACAATTTCTTTAACATAATCTTAGTTTACTGTGCGTTCTTAGGCTTACTTGCCCTGTTTTAATTGGTAATTGTTACAACAGGTTTGTTTTTTGTAATTCCGTGAATTAACTAATAGTCGTCAATTTTGGCTACAACGTATACATAATCTTGTTTGTGCGTAATATAATGACAGTTTTCGAGAAATACCATCGACTTGTGGTAAAATAGCTGACTTTGTAGCCTCAACAAACAAACAACAAAAGTATATGCAACGAACCGCATTTGGATCAATTGTAATCACACCGCTAATAAAAGCGACGCATTTTAAAGTACATAAAATGTGGTTTTATTCGTGATTGTGGTGTTCATTATCGTAAAAAAAAAATCAACACGATAAATTACGCGGTGCAACATTTATTTCTCTGATTTTAGATGGGTGGGATGCACTGCTTTATTGATTTCTCTTTTAATTCAGTTTCTATTATTAATATTTTACGGAATAATTTTACGTTTTAATAGCTGCATACGTACGAGTTTGAATTTAGTATTAGATCGTCGAAGCGGCCAGAATTCTATTTAAAAACAAGTGTAGAGTTATTGTAGGAATGTGGTAAATGTAGAGAAGACAACGTCAGTGTGATGAGCAAAGAACTCCAATATTAACTCCAATTGCGCAGATTAGCTTGACGGAATACGTATTCCGGCCTTAACGAGAGTCGATAAAATCGAAAAGGCAATAACATGTAGATGTTGTATTATTAATAATCGGGTAAGGAAGAATTAATGTCGAAATTAATGTTAATTATGTTGATAGGTTAGATCTATTTATAAAGCTCTAACTGGCAACTTGTGGGAGCTGAAAATGTGGAAGAAAACATTACTTTTTATTTTTATCAGAGACGTTTATTTTATTGTTGTTTTTTATTATCTATGATGACATTTTAAATATGTTACAAATGTTGATGTAGAGAAGCTAACAGCTTTACGTGTGTTTAGTCTGTAATTTTACGGCGTAATCGTGTTCATGTTGGGCCATCCTGTATGTCGATAAATAAAAAGAAAAACCGTCACATGCCTCCGCATGTTCCATGATCCAGCAGAACTTTAAAGTGTACATTAACACACATGGATCAAATATAATCTCGCAATGATCTATTTTTAGTGTGTTCACCTGCTGTGCTTAGTAAATGTAACTTTGGTCAAGTTTAAACATCTCAGACACAATAATTTGAGTTTACACCAGAATTATAAGACTGGTCGTTAATAAGTCGCATTCAATAACCACCCCGTAATTTTAGTCTTCTAAAGTGTGTGCTTAATACAGGAGCCGAAACTCGGTGGTACTAAATTGAAAGAGCTAAAAGAAGACTCATTTCTATTGAGTGATAAAAGTGAAGTCAAAACGATCGAAATTGACGATGGACTTCAAAAGTCACCATCTAACTCACTGTTAGCACCACCACAAGGTGACACTTCTACAACAGATAGGGCTGATATTGTCATGTATGAAGAAGAAACACGTATGAGTGCGGAAACCAGCAGCAGAGCCCAAACACCGGCCAAGCAGGTAAGACTTAACCTCACTTTTCTTTCACTGCATGCTATTTTGCCAGCGGTACTGTATTTCGTCGTTTCGAATGACAGGAGTTTAGTAGTTCAAGGTGACGAAAACAAACAATGTAGATAAATTAATTATGATATCGTTGTGGAAATTTTATACCTACCTACCTGTCGTTTTCGTGTGACGAGGGGTCAGAGTGAACCGGGTACTGATGAGCACCATTAATCAAATTAGTATTATTTATGATCTAAAAATGTTTATAAGATGTTTTTAGTTAAAGTTTTAAAAATTAATTAAACAACATTACGATATGTGTAGTACGACCTTCAGTTGCTGCCCGACTCAAGTGATTAATTAATGACTCAGTGCGAATGTGGATATTTGTGTATAATTTCGTTTTGATGTTCATCGGGTAAATGGAAATAACTTGTTATTCTTGTACCTATTTATGGAGTTAGTTATCACTTGGCACCTGTATTGTTTGTAGATTAGTAGAAAAATTGATATTAATAATGTGATAATAAGAGTTACGCAGTTTAATACATTTAGTTCAATGTTGAGACGACATAAACAATGAATTATTTAGATAAAGGCTGTTGTTATGTATGACTTCAACACAAGGTAAGTAAAGGTTAGTATGAGCAGGAAATTGTTGGTTTATTTCTAAAGTATGTGGAAATGCCCACGGAAACGTGACATTTAATTAAGTTGTAGACAGTTGAGTAAGAACCCAAAAATGCATGGAATTGGTAGTCGTCTGGATATTGAGAAATCTACATATATATGTTATTAAGTTATTACATATTACATATTTTATTGTTTATAAGAGACACAATTATGATGTTCCATTCCCTTACTTCTCAGTTTCCTTATTAGAAATGTTTCTTACATTGTAGATATGCCGCTTAAAAACTGTTTTTGTTTTAGTTTATTCATTTATTACTGTGCCCCCTTATTATTATTTTTCATTATGGAATTACGACGTTTTGGGTTTGCTAAAGCGTTAAACAGTAGCAGCAACAGCATTGTTTCTTAAGGCCTTCTCAAGTTGTATTCTTGAAGATACATCAGCAATCATTTTATTACAGTGAGAAATAAATAGACACCCTTATTGGAGTATCAATAAAATGTAATGTAATGTCCTACGAACAACAATGACTGGAAATACTCAGTACAGTTTTATTCAAACAATAGTAGGCACTGTCATTCTATCATTTGTGACAAATCATATGTGATTCAAGCTTTACTGTCATTTTAACACTTTTCAAAAATCTGTTTTGTCAAAAGATGCCTATGTACCTATATAATATATTAATATATTATATAGGTACACTATACATATAGTCCTATTATTAATATCCGACAGATGTGACACCACTGTCAGTAAATTAAGGTTATCTAAATAAAGCACATTTTACAAATTATGACAATAGTAAATGACAACTGGCCAATATTTTTTGAATGAAACTGTACTAGAGTGCCTTGACAGAATATGTCGTTTTTAAGCGTGTGAACACGAAATGACAGTTTCAACTTTTAAAATATTTTAGGTTATACGACTGGTTGACAGAAACACGTCTTTGCCGAAATTGTTGTCAAATTTATCATGAACGTTCGTCTCAAAGGGTTTTCCAGTTTCGTAAAAAAATTGCAGCAATCCACTTGACTATGATTTTTTTATAATTTGTCATTTTTTGAAGTAAAAAGTCAAACATTGAAAATATTTTCTGAAAATGCACTGCAGTTTAATTAATTGTAATAACAGCGCAAACGATGGATATCGTTTATATAGTTTTTGCACTCATGACCTTTTTTGATAACTTTCGCGCATTCACCAGAGTGCGGGAGGTCGAACTTCCCGCACACGTGCATTTAACTTCCCGTTGCCATGGTAACCTTAAAATACTCGGGTAGTGTCAACATTGTGACGTGTTGACGGCGCTGTCAATGGCGTTGTTTATAAATAACTCACAGTTAATCTCTTCAGTTTAAAGGTTTATTCGTCGCAAAAAATATTGTACACAACACGTTCGTGAGCCTGCTTCCCGCATTCACGCAAATGCGGCACTCCCTTCGGTCGTGCCTCAAACAAGCGTTCATGCGGGAAGCAGGCTATCCCGAACTAGTTGCGTAAATTACTATTTCCCCCATGTAAGAAGACCATTGCACTTTACAAGGAAAGTTTAAGGCGTTTAAATTGGAACATTGGTTCTACCTTCAAAATTTGTGAAGTGCTTACTTTTGTAAAATCCTTTCCTCTGTATTTTTAAAATTAGATTTTAACGTGCACTTTGATCAATAAAATTTCGTCTACGACTTAAAAGTTAAAAGAAAACGTTTTACCTAAATATTTTCATGTTCAAGGTTTTAAAGGTAAAGCACCATTTAAAATTGTTAATCCGGAACAAACAATTAATGAACGAAATATCAAAATTCAAAATTGAATAGCCACTGAAAAAGAATTATTAGCGCAAATTGAGTGTTTAGGAAAGTACTACCAAAATTTGTTGCAGCAGAAAGAAGACGAAAAAGAAAAAATTAACAGTTTGAATTTAAAAAAATTAAAAATTAATGACAAACTGGTGAATGCAGGTAAATTTGGAGTGAAGAAAGAAAGAAGTAATCACAAATGCACTTAAATAAAAAAAATGAGGAGGTGGAGCCTCAAGACTGTAGAAAAAGCACTGTATATTACGAACATTTTAAAGACTATGAAAAAGACTATTGTTTATATTTAGATGAGACGGCTTTAACGCCTGGAAAGCAATACTGCACAGCTTCCTCTACCATCCTAGGATTTGAAACCCTGGAAAACTTTTCAGCGATAGCCACTCATTCTTTAGTTATCATGATAGGTGGAATATTGCGGCGGTGGAAACAAGTAATTTCGTATCACTTTACAGGAAATTCCACAAGTGGACAGTCATTGGGAGATCACATTAAAGAATTAATAATTTTAGCCACAAAAACGGATCTAAATATTGCAAATATTACGATAGATATGGGTGCAGCAAATCAGGCGATGTGGAAATATTTTGGCATTAAATCTAAAAAAATTGTTCTTCAAAATTTCATTTCTAATCCAGCTGATGGATCAAAAAATATATATTTCATGGCAGATCCTTCTCACATTTACAAAAATATTAGGTCTGCATTGGTAAATAACAAAATAAATAATTCCGGACGAATTGGTTAGTAAATATGCGTTACCAAGCAATGAAGTTAATATTAAATACATTGAGGACTTTGCGGATTTCAAAAATATTTCGAATTAAAGTTAGCACCAAAATTAAGTAGTGATTTGTACATTCTGAATCATTTTAACAAAATGGAAGTTTCTTTGGCATGTAATTTAATAAATTTTGATGTAGGTGCGAGGCTCGAATTTTTGTGTAACACAACTGCTGGGTTTATCAAAATTTTAAGTAAATGGTTTCGTATCATTTCGTCCCGATGTGACATTTCGGCTATTAGCACGTGAATACAAAAACACTTTGAAATTTTTGCAAGAAATTATTGTTTTATTTAAAAAATCAATATTGGGAAAGGGGGGCAATTGGAAACCAGTACAGACAGGTTTAATTTTGTGAACAAAAACTATTTTAAATCTTCGGGAATACTTTTTAAACATTAGAGGTTATAAATTTTTGTGTACGTCAAGATGTTCACAAGAATGCGTTAGAAAACATTTTTAATCAAATAAGACTGAGACAAGAAATACCAAATGCACTTCAATTTATTAAAAATTTATGTGTAATTTAAAGCGTCGAAAGTACCTACAGTAGGGGAAGTTATACAGTATCAAATGATCAAAATTTATTAGGGATAAGAGATTTACCAGCTTCAAGTAATGCCGTTTCTTCTGCAGTCTCGACAGCTTCTCTTCCTATGGGTTGGAACAGTTACAACCAAGCATTTTGTATTGTAACACAAAATTGTTTAAAGTTGCCAGCTACATTTTAGCAAGAATTAGACGAAATTTAAAGTATGTATGTTAATCGTCTACAAGCAATTATTACCAAAAAATTTTCTAGGCCTTATACGAAATTCGTTTGTTTAAGAGAATTTACAGTTAATTCATTAACATAACCAATAGAACTTGTATTTAATTTGTTTTTAACTATGGAAACAATTTTTGAAAATTTAAAGAAGGTAATTCCTGAACAAAATGTTGATTTAAAAACTCTGTATTTACACGAAATGAAACTTGATCACCAAATTACCAGTTTGTCATTATATTAAATTAAAAAATTTAAAACTATTTTCTTTGTTTCGGGTTCGAATACATCGTAAAAAAGGACAACGCAAAATAAGAAGGAAAATTTTAGAAGAACGGGGTGTAGTAGAGAAAGTCGAAGTTTAGGTATAAGAGATACTTTGTTCTTTGATAGTTGGTTCATTTTTTTTAGTTCGTAATTTTGTAATATAAATCTAAATATAATTAAATCGATTTTATTTTTGTCTAGATTTAGTTTCACTTCCAATAAACAAAGGAGTCGTCTAGAATCAAAACCTGTTAAATCCACTTTTTGTAAATTTTGAGTTACAACTGTTAATTTGTTCAAAATTTAAGCTTCATTGACTGAGACGTCTATATTTGGCACATAAAGTATCACTTAACTCCTGATAAAATAAATATATATCTATTTATTTATCATTTACATATTTGTTTTATCAGTTTCAAATTACGACAAATCCCTACCCTTGACTCTCACACTGCGATAAATCCACAGGTTGGCATTAAAGCATGACAACTCCATTTTCACATTTATAATTTCACCATCTCAACAACGAAGCATTTGGTGTTTGTTGTTGTTTAGTCTTAAAATAATATAAATCATGTAATCAAAAATAAGAACTTTACGTTAAATGGACTTGTGCAAATGTGTGACAGTTTTTTGCGTTTTTCTCAAAACATAGTGTGACGAAGTTAACGGCTTTGATTCTTGATGCCTCAACTTTGGTGAATGTTCAGTGAGTAGACCAAATTTTGTACACTGACTTCTAGACTTAGTTTACGATTTCTCGTATTTTCTTGGGTCATTCTCAAAACATTCATGTTTTGGAAGCAAGTTATACTACAAAAAAGTGCCGCATAATTAGTTCCAACTTTGTGAAGACTTCCTCATAAATGTAAAACATGATTTTCACAGTGATTTACCTCTACATATTTAGCTGAAACCTGAAAATTGATGTATAATTTTGTTGTTCGGTAATATAATTTACTGGTTCATACCTTAAAACATAGAATTGGAGTATAATTTGGTACTCGTATTTCTTACCAGTCATTCACAGCGTCAACCTATTTTAGTGACGAAGTTATTCCCAATCATTTTCATTGTACGTACCGCCACTGAAAATTTGGCTGACATAGACAGAAAACTAAAATCTATATCTATACTCTGTGTGTTTCTTTCTAACTTAATCTCTTTTAAGAAGACGGCCTCAACAATCGGGAGTACCCTAACATCAATCATGTTGCGGAATATTTCTCAGAATAAGAAAAGAAAGGTGGAGCACAATGGGGGACATTTTAAAACTTTAATTTGAAAATTATTTAATTTATATTTGTGCTGTTTATAATTATTCTTTTTCAATTAAATTTGTTTCGTGATACAGCATTATTTCATTAATCTGTCGGTTCTGTCTATTTCGCGTCCACCGGCTGGGACAAATTCTTAACTTTTTAAATAACCTTTTTTTATGCAATTGAATAAACATCAATTATGTCCATTTTTATGCAACCACATAAACATCAATTAAACTTCACAAAATAAGTATAATACAGGGACATTTTTTTAACTCTGAACATAGACCGTAAATGGCCTACGTTCAGTTTTAAAAAACACACATCAATGCATTGGTAACTATGCAACCAACATTACGCATAGCCGCTCCATACCACATTGATTTTGAAATTTTTTTAAAACTGACGCTGTTTTTGAAACGTCAAATTATTTCATTTCATAAAAAATGTATTCCACAAAAGAAAAACTTCAAATAATTCACTGGTATCACGCTGGTAATAGCATACGCAATATACGCGATCTCTTCTCAGTGAGTTACCCATAATTTTCAACATTTTTGCAAAATTTAATAACACAGGGTGTGTGGTACAGGCACACCACAAAAGAAATCGGCTTTGCTGTGTCCTCACTGAAGAAAATAAATTGAATATTTTGTGCTATGCGGAAGAAAATCCCATGTCTTCTTTAAGAATGACGGCAAATTATTTTGATATTTCTCCCTCATCAGTTAGAAAGGTTTTGAAAGAATTCAAGTACAAACCTTATAAATTTACGAACCACCAACAACTTTCTGAAGACGATAAAATTAAAAGAACAGATTTTTGTGAAACACTGTTCAATTTATTAAATGAAAATGAAGAAATTTTACACAAAATACTTTTTACAGATGAAGCGTCGTTTTCAATAAATGGCGAAGTGAATTCACAAAATTATCGGTTAGCTTCCAGTTACCCACTTATCCTTTCCATATTAATCCTTTCCTTACAGATATTGGTCCCGTACTAATCCTCGTCTACAAAATTTAACGCGAACGCAGTATAATAGAAAAGTCAATGTGTGGGCCGGAGTAATAAATAACACACTAATTGGTCCATTTTTTATCGATGGAAATTTAAATGCAACAAAATTCTTGCAACTCCTCGAGACACAAATAATCCCCCAGAATGAAACTTTAAATATTGAAGATCCATGGTTCCAAATGGATGGAGCCCCCGCACATTCTGCTGTTACAATTACTCACTATTTAAACGAAATGTTTGCTGAACGTTGGATAGGGAAATTTGGTCCAATAGCTTGGCCAACTCGGTCTCCGGACTTATCACCAAATGTTTTTTTTTCTTTGGGGGCACTTAAAGAACAACATTTACACTAATGTGGTGATAAATGATGTTCAGAAACTAAAAAATCGCATAACTGATGCCTACAGGAATGTTGAACCTCGTTTTATTCACAATGCTGTGCAAGGTTTTTACAACAGGCTCGGTTATTGCCTAGAAAATGAAGGTGGTCACTTTGAATATTTATTAAAGTAAATTTCGTACTTGTTTCTGTTAGTAAATAAATTTCACATGTTCGTTAATCGTGTTTACTTGAGTATGCTTGAATGTTGAATGATACTAATGACAGCACAATGACAGTTTGCAAGTTGGAACACCATTTTGTAATAAATCGTAGTTATGCAACCAACATTACACGTATTGATGTGTGTTTTTTAAAACTGAACATAGGTCTTTACGGTCTATGTTCAAAGTTAAAAAAATGTCCCTGTATACTCAGAAATGTACCCGAGAAATTCTACAACACACTATCATGTAAGAAACATTTATAATAACCCTGTATTATACACCAAACAAACACCGTTGTGCCTTTGCAGCCAAGACGACTACACCATAGGAAAGTTGTTTTTACTTTCATAGTATAAGTTAAGACATTTTTGAAAGGTGTTTCTTTTACGGTTACTTTAACACATCTGTATTTACATTCCTAGGGACTGACAGATTCCGAAATCGTGAACCAGAGCTGAATTTGTGTGAAAGAACAAAACTGATTATAAAATACTGGTAACTTAAGCAATCAGAATATAAATAAGTAATAATCCTATTTTTTGTACCTACAAAATTAATTTGTTACGGAGAAAGATATTACAGGCAGTTACCTCGGCGTTGATGCACCACGAATAAAATGAGTTGAGTTTGTGAATTATTTATAGCAGAAGATGGAAGTGTATCGAGTTGCCTGTTAATCAAAACATTTTCGAAAGCTTCTCCTTCTTAAGCTAATGCTTAAGTTTAAATTGGATCGTTATCACTATATCACCTGCTATAAAAAAAAGTACAAACCACCAAGTTTTTTAAGATAATAAATAAATCTGCAAGATTTAAAAGATAAGAAATCTAACCGCATTGGAACCATATTATGGTGTTTTATCTGTTGGAAGCTATACCGCTAGATAGTGTTTTTATCTTTATTGAATAATTGTCATAATTTGATCATTACAATTTTTTCTATTCCTTTAAATATCAAGAGAAATGCCAAAATGAATAACATTCCATGAGTGGCCTCACTCCTTGGTAGATTTGCGCGGATCACTGACTATATGCAGAAAACATCTCGCTTCTACATTGCGAATTAAATTTGATACCGAATAACATAAACAAAATTCATTCTTGAACTAAGACTTTCAATAGAATAATAGTTCACTGAATGCAACATAGAAGCAGTTTTAACCAAAAGACTGTATGTATCGAAATGTAAAAACGGGCTTTGGCGTCTTTATAAAAAATTTAATATAAATGCTGTTAATTTCCTGACCTCCCCAATTCAGTTATTCCTTGAACTATAAACAAAATTTATATTTAATTTACACTCAACGGTGATAAACGATCAGGTAAGTACGTGATTTATTATTAATTAATTACACGTTCAGTATCATCAAGACAAAGTTTGTAGGTCATATTTAGTTGACTTTCAACATCATCAAATACAACCCTGAAGTTTACAGGACTTCAAATAGACACGCGTCGTATTAAGGATCGATGATTGTTGGTCATAAAATTTTATTAACACAAAACTCGTGTCTTTCCTAGATATCATTTACTTTAACTTCAATACAGCTGTAAACTTGCGCAGAAATACAAAATGTAAATCAAGTAAGGATCAGCCCCAAAATTGAACCTTGAGGAACACCTTTTAAAATCACCGTAGTGCCCGAAATTTTATTGTTTACTGAAACTATTTGAGTTCCATCTCGCAGATAAGATTTAAAAAAATGTATTTGTATTACCACGTATACCGTAACATTCTATGTACCGGAGAATCGACACAATCGAACGCTTTCGAGAGATCGAATAAAGTTGCAGATACAGAAAAAAATTGTTAAAGTCATCAGGGTGTACGGACGAAACTGCCTTATATTATTTACTAATTATCTATTAATATTTGGCCTCTTTTAGTTATTCCATTCTGTATTGAGTTTTTAAAAGTTTAATAATATTCTCAACTTCAGATGAAGTATTATAATGTCTAACAATATCTAAAACTTGCAAATTGTTTTTCACTTTGCGTATTTGTCATTGTACCAAGTGTTTGTGCTACTCTTTTACTTCCCGAGCGTAAGCGAATCTCACTTGAAATTTATAATATGATGTTTTACATTCACTTAAATTTGTTTCTTTCAATTCGGTTCAAATATTTCGATGACGTCATCCCAAAAACTAATGGCCGTGGAAATTATTAGCCTTCAGGTAGGTAAAACAAGAGTTACTTTTTCCCTCAAATTTCCGGATACTCAATGGCGTCGATACTACAAATCAGTAATGTTCTCTTAAAAAATAATAAAAACCAAAAATATGTTGCATTTTTATTTTTTGACAAAATGAGGATTAATGATGATGATTGGAGTAATTAAAGTAAATATGCATGTATTGTCAATTGTTGTTTATTGTAAAATATACTTTTTTTATTTATCTATTATATAGAAATATCATAATTAATGATTATAATAATATCGCATAAAAAAGTTAAAGTACAATGTATAATTTACCAACTAAATTAACAAGTAAATATTTACAAATGCTAGAGCAGTATTTATGACTTATTCTATTTAAAATACAAATTACTGTTCAATCATACCGTTATCCCCTTAGGTATCTTGTGGAAGCAAATTTAAAAAATATTAATTACATTAAAAACAAATCGCAAGTTTAGATTCATAATGGTTTGCACATTTAAGATAGATAATAATATGTTTTGTAATTACTTTTGCACATGTTTAATTCTTATTTTTGATATGTTGTCTTATGGATCGTGTATCCTTTTTCGACATTAAATACATATTATTACATATATTATTTCATAAATCAATTTCAGTTTATTGTGTCGTACAGAACAAATTAAGTACATACGAAATTACAACAAAAATAAATTTATTGGTCATGCCCTCCAGGGCAAGCAATACGTAGCGAATTTAACGTATTTTGTTCACTAGTAGTCGTGAAACTTCGATTATTCACTTGACACAAGTTTCTGAAGTTGTTTATTATTGAGATAGAATGTTGAGATAGGAAAAATAAATAAATAGCAGATTGTACAACCAGAGTAGATATGATGCCGATATCACCTGAGGACGAAAGTCGCGTAAAGATGATATGAGCAGTGATGATAACTATAAACAGTCAATTATTTAAAAAAGTTAACAACACTAGTACTTACTAACGTGGTATTAGCGAAACAGTACCTAAAAGTAATTATATTTAACCAAATAAACAGTTTTCACACTACTTACTATTATTCGTGGTCCCTGCAACATATTCATTCAAATCATTTTATGAAATCAATCACTTTCTAATTGACAAGTGACATTTTTATCTGCGTAGAAAGTGTTGGCGGAGCAAAACGGAGATAAGGTAAATTCGTGAAAAAAGCGCTGTGAGTTCTCCCTGTTATTATTAGGAGTTTTTAATGTAATGATTTTTTTGTAGCATCTGAATAAACAATCATAAATCCGTACGATACTTTGCCTTTGTATCAAAATACAACATCTGACCTGAAAGAAGGCAATTTATTCTAACTTACTTATTTAACCCTCTTCTTTGTTATATCAAAACTAGCTGACCCGGCAAACGTTTTGCCATATAAATTATTTCTAGTGAATATTTTGGTAGTTAAATAAAAAATTAAATTAAAATAAATAAATAAATTTAAATTAAATTATAAATTATACATAAAAATTTATCGTGCGACAATGATTATATTCAACAGCCATCTTGCAACCCTATTGCGCATCGGAGGATGAAGGTAAAGATACTAATATCGTTAATAAAAATTTCGTCCAAAAAATAAAATTTTTGGGTGGGCCACCCTTATCACCAAGGGGCATAAAAAATAGTTTACTACCGATTCTCAGACCTACCTGTGTTAGGATTCCATGGATAAATAAATTCCTTTTTATATTAAGATGTTTGCGAAAAAAAATTGTTATGCGATACCCACCAAAAGCCAGTTTTATCCTCTACTGTACAGAAATGAACGTATTTCTGTATTGAAAAAAACTATGATTTGATGCTTGTTTTTGTCAGTCTTCGTTTTCGTTTCAATTGACGCTTTATAACTTTAGAATTTAAATGTCAATACCAAGTGTGTTAAAGTAACCAAAAAAGTAGGTTGTATAAAACAACTCTCACCTGTACCACTTTAAATTGAAATAAAATAAACTCACCGATATTCGAAACCAGACCATACGTCAAAAAAAACTGTCTACATTACAACATATAAATTATATTATTAAAAAAAAACTAACGATTTCGTTTAGATGTTAAAGCTTCTGGAAATTCCGTCAAACAAACCTTAAAATCTCAATGTGGTTGCGTGTGATTTTTTTTCGATCTATAACTTTGTTGTGAGTAGATATTCAATAATACATAACATGAAAGTATCAGATATTATGTTCTTTGTCACTGTTAAAATTTGTGGAGGGCTGCCAATTTGAAATGTTGCAATATGTACGTATCCAAGCAAAAACAAAACTTGCATTACAAATTGTCAACTGTCAAAAAGATATTGTAACAGTTTTGAAATACTCCTATTTAGTGTCCCTAGATATACTTTCCAAAGTATACTCCTATTTATTTAAATTAATCGATACTGTTTGATTAAACAAAATGAGTTTGTCTGCAAATGAGTATTGTGATATGTATTTAATGCTTGGAGAGTCCAAATGAATGCTGACCAAGTGGCACCCAGGTGCACTGAGCGTTACCCAAATGGACGAAATCCTAGCCCCAATGTTTTTAGACGGCGTAAACAATCTTTAAGAGAAAATTGTTAGCCTCTAGGCTAACTTGGTCTACCAAGTCTCACAAGAAGCAATTATTGATGTTGTTCTTGAAGATCCTACAACTAGGGTTAGGCAAATAGGTTGGCTGTTGGATGTACGGTTCAAACTGTGAACAGGGTTATTCGTGATGAGGAATAACATTCTTACCATTACACAAAAGTCCAAGCCCTATTGCCTGCCGATTATGACTCCAGAATGGAATTTGGTAGAATGGTACTTCAGAGGGACGATGCTTTTTCTGTCCCAAGATTTTGTGGACCGATGAATCTCCGTTTACGAATAATGGCATATTCAATAGAGAAATAGAGCATCAACATCGGTTTAGTTTGAATGTGTGGACACGAATTATAGGGAATTACCTTATGGGGTCTGAGATTTCTTTGACAATTAGAAGGAATATTAATTTTTATTTTTGGAGTCATATGAAAGGTCTGGTTTACCAAACAATCCAACAAAATTTAGAAGATTTGAGGTAGTGAATTGTTCATGCTACTACCTGGTGCTTTATAAATACGATCAGACGTCTGTTTGTTGGCTAACGGGAAAATATTTAAAAATAAATGTTTTTCTACCCATATTGAGAAAATGTTGAATTTTTATTGCATTTTGGATTGAGAAAATTGACAATTTTTCAATCTATTGAAGAATAAGCACTTTTTCTGCTCATATTGAGAAAATGCTGAATTTTTACTGCATTTTAGATTGAGAAAATTGACCATTTTCAACCTATTGAAGAATGAGCAGTATTCTCCACAGCTTTTGTCCAATGAGAACGCTACATTTTCTTTTCTCCACAGTTCCCCACTATCACCCCTAATAAAAATTGAACTCGTCCATGCGTTACCCTGGTTATGTTTTGTTTACACACGTCATCATTAATGTTAATAAAAATAACTCTTTAATTTTTTTGTCTTTATTTTCTTGATTATATGAACAGGAAAAGTATATTGCTAAACTCGTGAGAAATTGGTCATCCCACTCGGATGAGTTCCTCCAGATTGGCTCGTTCCGGAAACTCGTCCTCGTGCAATGACCAACTTTCTCATTCGTTGAACAATATACTATTGCTTGCGACCCTTCGTCGGAATATTATTTCATCATGTTCGGAATGATTCTATTATTGTTATTATTTATTGAGAAATTGAAACCGCTCTATTTTAAATCGCTAATATAATACCAATATTAATTAACCTGCCATTAAGGAATTAGTTTGTGTTAATGAAACACCGTTGTCGTTTCTTTAGGTGGTTACGACCATTCCTACCGTCGACCTAGTCGAAGAATCTCAAAGTTCTGTCCAGAGCATCCAGAGCACCGCCACCACCGAAAGCGTAAAAGTACGCAAAGGTCCACGTCTAGAGGTCCATCAAGAACCAGAAGGTGCCGTCATCTCTGCCGATCAACTAGCCGAATACTACTGGAGCGGCGGCGGCCCTTACATGCTCCAAGAGCAAGTCGCCCAATTCCTCGGGATCAAGTCCTTCAAGAGGAAGTATCCCAACATTTCGAGGCGCGTCGTCGACATGCAAGAACGCGATTTTATACGTGAAAGTGGCTTGGCTGGGGAGGCCATGTGTGATTTAGGATTGACAGCTGTCAACAGTAGCGATATTTTGGACATTATGTATTCGGACTTTCAAGACAAATACGAAGAGTATTGCAAGCATCAGCGCGATCGGCAAGCAAAGGATCTGATTAATAAGCAGAAAGCGCTCAGTTTGGCTGCTAGTCAGGAGAAGGCAAAGATGGATATCACGCAACAGGCGGTGCAGTCCGCGGCTAGTTGGAATGCTAGTTTTAATAAGGTAAGTTTGGGAAATTGTTAAGTTTGTTTAATGGAATTATTGCGGGTTGATTCGACTGTCTGGCGCTTGTTAGTAGAGTCTTAATACGAATAGTAAAGTTTGCTAATAGGTTTGACGGCTATTAACGTTTGTGTTGATATTTTCCGCATTGTTGCTTACCGGCTGGAGTGATAGAAGCAGGATCTGTTTCGGCGCAACCTAATGCATGATCTATTTCGTTTTTGAAATGACGCCTGAAATTATTTGCAAAGAAACGTTCGTTCATCAATCTGCTGAAGCGAACTTTATTTTACGTTAGATACACATGAGAAATTACTTCAACAGCTGAACTAAAAAAGAGCAATACCTAGAAAGTAGTTTTTATCTTTGAGAAAATTTGTGACTTATTTACGCAGTTGAATTATTTTGCAAGTAATTTCATTCCGTAGTGATAATTCAGATTTAGACCTACAGACTGCTTTTTTCTTTATATATTTTGTGTGTTAGTCACGCATCGTTTCAAAACGGCGTAACACATAGAGCTCTTACAAGTGAGCTATAAGGTTTAAAGGTAGTAATTCCAGCAATTTCAGTACGGTTAAATTTTTGAACTGCCAACACTTTGCCAACAAAGCGATTGGTTGATGATTTAACCTATCGTGGAAGGCCTATAAATTGGTACAACGTGATCATTCAAGTCATCATAGAATTCCAAAGCATATTAATACTCTTTGCAAGTATTTAACTTTTTTTTTAATCTTAAATGAAACTATACACGTGGAGCCTTACAAACCAGAAACATTCATTTAGTTTGTGTGAAATGGACTAAACGGTTACTGTCGAGCGATATTTTGACCGTTGACAACTAAACTGGCTGTTTGACATTGACATTTCAACTAGCGGTTAACTGCCAACAATGGACAATAAAACACCCAACCTCGATATAAAAATCTGTTCGTTAAAATAAAATCTTATCTAAACACATTCATGACAGTGAAACTAAAGTTATTTAGACGAGAAGTTTGCTCGACTTCGAGGCCTAATCCAATAAATCCAGTTTATTATTAGATAAATAACAATAGTTGATTCTTCAAATTGTATTTTTTTGTGGTAAGACAGTAAATAATTAAAACAAAAAGTAACAATGCGCTTTGAAAATTTTGGGAAAATTAGTAAGCCATTTATGATTATTCCATAAAATAAATTGATTCATTTTTTTTTAACATTATTTGAAAACAGTTAAATCCACGTATACTACTAAAACACAAAGAATTTTGCATCTTGAAGCACATTTGTTAACAAATATTAATTTGATAAATGTTTTCTATTATATCAATATTCTGCAAAGGATGAATAAATAAATTTTTATCGTTGCTCATCTGAAAAAGTCGTTTTGTAGATTCTAAAACAAACTGAATATTTATTTTTTAAATATTATTTTTTTACGATAACCCATGTACTTATCGTTAAAAGTATGAAAAACTTAATTAAACCACAAATAAAGGGGCATCTGACAATATAATTTTCAGGCAGCATTACCTAACAAAATTTCAGAAGAAGTGTAAAATTTGTATACAATTTTTTATATATTTTTTTAAATAGAGCTAGCATATTTTTTGCACATCTAGTTAGCAAAATTTTGAATTGATGTCATAAAATTTTTGTGAATTTTGAATTGATGTCATCAAATTTTTGTGGATGAGCAGACAAATTTTGGTTTATATTTTTACGCCATGTACACGATATAAATAAAACACATCAAAAATTTCACAACACAGTAGTGTTGTGTTCAGTAGTTTAGACAATTATTTCTAATAAAATCGTGAATTCATGACCGACAGAAGGAAACAAAAATTTCGTTTTTCATAATGTGGGGGCTACGTATGAAACGTCGGTAGAACATAAAATTAGCTATTTATCAAGTAGACGCAATTACAATACTACAAAATGAGAACGTGCAAGATAAAAATAATGCAGATATATTTGTACGCTTGGTAAAAACAGTGTTAAAACTATTAATAAAGTGAAAACTGACAACCAAAAATTCCATCAAAAAAAGCATTCATAAATACATCAATAATAACATAAATAGAACTTTTCGTTCCTACAAAAAAATAGAAAACGAACAGAGCAGTTAGTCGACCTTCATTCCACTGAAATTGCGAATGATTTTTTTTTTAATAAAAAATATGTTATTCGCTTCGTCTAAAATATGATCTTCAGGTGTTCATATTCCTGAATTATAAACGTGAAATAAACAGAACTTAAACTGGACAAATTAGGTATAAGGAAACGGTTAAGAATTTCATTTGTAACCTTGCTTCACACATTTTTTAAATTACCATAAAATACATATTTTTGATGTTAATACTACATTATCAAATTGTATGAACAAATTATATCAAAACTGCAGTCTAAATTAGAAAAAAAAAAATACATATAAAATTTTGCAAAAAATAGGTTTTAGGTATATGATCAAGTCGATCTTAGCACTTCCAACTACTTCTCATGAATTTTGTTTTTCCAATTTTAATACAGTAAACAAAGCATTACGTAACATTAATGTTTCTTGAATGAAAAAATAAATATTAAAAAGTGTGACAATTTCAGGCCCGACGGGACCAGAGGAAATCTTGCATGGACCTACAAACTCTGACTATTCACTTCCCCAAGGGTAGAATGAAACAAATTAGTAAACCTAAAATTGGTTACTATCCAGTAGCTTTAGTTCCAGGACAATTCACAGATTATTACAAAGTGAGTTAAAAATGCTAGAATTATAAACATATTGAACATTAATAAATGCTGCGTTTGTTACAGGAATTTACACCTACGGAAATCAACAACCTCCCATTAAACACAATGTGTTACAATCCCATTATCAAAAATATCCACCAAGAAATGGAGTGTGATAGTCAGACCGATGGTTCAGGATCTGAATCCGACTCGAGTAGTTCAGACTCTGATAGCTCCTACAGTGGATCATCAGACGCTGAAGATTGTACACTGTGCAAGCCTGCCCCGAAAAGGGTTGCTGCAGCGCAATAGTTGCAATTAATTAAGACACACTTTTCTGTTTAGTGATAGTTAAGTTATATAAATTTTTGTACATACATGTCATAACATTAATAAAACTTATAAGGGGAAGTATGTGTCATAAAAGATGAAAATAACACTTGTTTAGGTGTGGACTTTGTTACACGGAGTTGTGTAAGCAGTTGACTAGATCGGCTGTGATTTTTTTTTGCACTTAATATTTTGCTTTATGTTTTTATAAATATACGTTTTCTTAAGATTTCTGATTTCAATTTTTCAGCATATATAGAAAAAGTAAATGAAGTAACTGGTTTTCAATCCGTGGAGGGTGCACCCATTTAGAATTTACTGGTGTTGGTGAAACAGGGATCATAAATACTGCGGTTTGGGTGGTATGTACACTTCAAAGTGATCCATATCTACCATGCCATTTAAAGTTTTAGAGAAATAAAACCCGTGTTATTTCTAAATGAAGTTTTTTATTCTGGATCCAAAAATGAAAAAATATACAATGTGTTTCATAAAAAACGCTGGATATATGCATATATAGTGAACCAAGAGCTATAAGGTTATATGGCCATCATAAAATCATCCCATTGTATCGAAGTTAAGTTGTTTACAATAGAAAAGGTTTTAGGGTCGTAAATAACGAGTCCACTACAGCTCGACCGGCTCTTGCGGTTTCATTCAGGGGCGGCTTTCACTAAATATGAAAATCCACCACTCCACTATTTCTTTGCTACCTGCAGTCGCTGAGGGTTCCGAAATAACCACTCGCTTTGAAAGCCGGCCCTGTTAAATATGAGCAAGAAATGTTTAGAAGATTGTGGTGACCGAATTTAAATCAAACTTTTCGCGCTGAAATTAATTGACAACGGCGCGAAATCACATTTGAATAATTTTAATTTGAAAAAAAAGAGTTCAATCACAAAAAGGAAATCCTTAAACATAGGCAACCAAATATGCATGGATGGTCTAATGCACGTAGCGCTTAGGAGTTAGTTTGCATGATCTTTGGGTTAGATGGCAGCACGTAGCGCTAGGGTAATTTCAGTTAGAGGGTTGGTAGAAAAACGGCATGGTAGGGCATTACGAATGTGGCTGTGTGTGTGTGACCACGTGGTAAGAGCTAGGTTTAAATTAGTTGGTTTGGTAGTTAATAAAACGGGAGGAAGCCTTTGTTTAACGACGATCAAACGTATTTTTCATAATGATACAGTTGTCCCCAACCCGCGCGTTAAATTCTTGCGCCCTTTTAATCGAAAATTGCAGACTTCCGGTCGGACGCGAACACGTGTTGTGAATCTGTTCTTTGTTTGAAAATTCACAAATCAGGCTACTTTTTCTTAATACTCAGCTAGAGCAAACACAATTTAACAATCAGGATTATTTAAATTAACCATTTGCTAGAAGATTTCATGAAATTCACTTAGTCAGGAAAAACACCTTATGTTTAATTACGAATAGGTCTCTGGATGCATATACGTGAGTGTTACATTAGAACACTTCTAAATTCTTCACACAATATTGCTAATAGTTCATTTACGGCAGTTAAACAAGTTCATTATACTGCGGACTGGCGGGGGGTTATGATATTTTCTCCCCTCAGGTGGTTATCATCGTTATCACGATTAATTCATCGGGGCATGTTTCGCAACGCCAGATTGATTAATTAATTAAGGCATGCCCCCAACGCTACAGAAAATTCACGTTGTTACACCACTGTTTATTTGTTGGTTCTTATCTTTAAAAGAAAACTCGCTTTGACCCAAAAGGCGTTATTATTAACAATAAACTTTACATATATTTAACTGTAACACGTGTTCACGTAAGTACCGGCGAACGGGGAGTCCGTGGCGAGGCGGAAGTATGGTGGAGCCTCGCTTTTTTTGTGTCAGCGCCATCTCGGAGATTTTCGCAACAACGTTACCGAGACGCTTTTTCCTCGCAACGATTTTGGAACTTACATCACCGAGACGCTTTTTCCCTCGGAGCGATGATTGGATATTTTTGTATTTGTTTATTATGTGTTTTGTTGGGGTAACCAGTTCGTAGTATTTTAACTTCTCAAAGTAAATTATTTTTGAAGTAACCAATCATTTAGATCATGATATAATTTGGCATAATGTAAACTCTTTGTTTGAACCGTTGATAAAGTGTGGCAAATATTAATCTCCTGTAAATTATGTTAACTCTGCAATTTTCACATCATACTATATTTCTTAATCTCACAATCTTAACCTCAGTAATTTTATTTGTTGTATAAATTTAATTGAACGTAAATTTCATGTTCTACAGTTCTAACCTCACATAACATTTCTATTTGTACAAGTTTATTTCACACCAGATCTTTCGTCTCATAAATCCTTGCTAAGTTTTGTTTTGTAAATACTTTGTTGATGAATGTTTTCTATCATATAAATTATTTGATGTCCAACTTTAATCCCACATAAGAATTATTTGTTGTTTAAGATTTCACAAGATTGTATGGCGAATTTAAATGTTGTTTATTGCTCTTTGAAACTTTAACACTTGTTCAGTTGTTGTTAACATCAGAGTTATAAGAGATTGAATGTTTTAAAATGGAATTGAGGTTAAATGACACAGAAAACGTGGCAGAAGCGAGGTTTGGTTCCTAGTCGAGCTGGCGAGATTTATCGCGCCACCTGTACAAGTCCACAGGTTTGGATAGATTCAGGGGGCGGCCGCCGACGTTGTGAATTTCTCGATTTGGCCCAATAGTCGAGATCTTTGCGGGTTGGACGACCGTAATGGCCTAGTTCCGCAGGGCAAAGTGCGTCATGGGATATGCGTGTGGGGTAGGCTTTGCGATAGATAGAATCACCGTCGCGGGGGGAGAACAGTTCCAGACCGGTAGCTCAGACTCCGCTTATGCCACAACGCTCCAGGGGTACCTTTCTTGTGCTCCTGTTAACTGCCGTAACAAAAAAAAAAGGAAAAGGAGATCGGCCGCCACATGCCTGTAATAACTTGTGTACTTGCATCCAGTTACTTGATTCAGCTTTTGCTTTGTTTTATTAAATTTGTGATATTCAAATATTTGCATTGATTCCAAACATATGTACAGAATTTCCGTTTGTTCGTTTTTCGTGTGTGTATGTCTGTCAATTCGCGAGTGTTTTTCTTTCACATATCTTAAGGTGTTTGAAATGTAATATGTCGTCCGGGAATAAAAACCAAAAGGGGGTTTTTGCGCTGAGGAGTAAATCTTCGAAGCGTCTTTTCCCCCTGTGAGGGGTGCCGTACTCCCCCTCCAAAACAATTTTTGTCTATTATTTCTAGCGCTCTCGACCGTATGCACTTGTATGAAAGAACTTCTTCCCGCCATTTTTCAAAACAAAAAAAAAAAAACACACAACGTAGGTTCTCATTTGTTAGACGATCACAGCCAAGGCCAAACTTTGAATTTTGAATTTTTCGCGGGCCTTTCAAACTGTTTCAAGGTCAATTTTTAAGGCGGGAAGTTTGGGTTATCACAAGATGATTTATTGCCAACCGGTAAGCTTAGTGCGAACCACACAAAGGGGGTATTTATTTGCGGTCAACTAATTTTATGATGGCCATATAGCCTTATACTTCTTGGTTCACTATATATGAAATTTAACCAACCAACGTAAGTACAAACTGAGAGTTCATAGGTACTGGTACGACCTTAAACGCCCAACCGACCTCTGCTGTTGGGGGTGATGCTAACAAAACCCTTTAGTTCGTAATACTATATTAAACACTAAAATACATGAAGTGGACGCCCCTCTGGTGTTCTATGGGATGGCTCTGACGGTACGTTACTACTTCGACGTCGCTCGGTCTCTCACCACTTACTGCTAGCCTCTTTTACCAGTTGGTTTGGTGGTCGGCGGGCAGATTGACATAGGGGACAAGAAAATTTCGGAAGCAAAAAAAGAACCTTACCTACAAACAATAAAAAAAAAAATTATCTGAAATTTTCGTCGAAACTTTACAACACTTCAGCAGATCAGAAAACCGCTAATTTACTATACGACTGTTTTTTTTTTTAATTTTCAAATGCGATTTCTCGGTCTGTTTTTTTTTTTTCACTACCCAAAATATAAATTTTAATTGCGGACAACAGAGACCTTTCACTAATGTAGTATTTAGTCATCATTAGAACTTCCACAGTACAAATTTCACTTCAATGCGGTGACCTGTATAAGAGGGATGTCGATGCGAACAGTTTTCTGATTTGATAACTAAATGAACGAAGTTGAAGTTCATCGGTCGACACCGTTAATAGAGGGATTTTAACGCAAGTTTTTATCTGGTTATCTTTCTTACTTCCACTTCGCATTGGGGTACTGTTACAATTTAAAGTTAAATGGCTTGGTGGCTTACTTGAATAAAAAGGATAGTGAACCTCAAGGTTTTCCGACCTTGGGATTCATCACTTTGCATATGAACGCATTCCTCCATTACAGAAAAAAAAAACAACGTAAAGTTCTATTTTGTTGACAATAACATTTCAAGACCAAATTTTGAATTAGTTAGATTTTTACGGGCAACTGAGTCGAGAAAGATCGAGGATTGACCCTGTTGTCAAATGCGAAGAGCAAAGAAAGTGTTACACACAGTATAGAGATATTTGTACTGTAGGTTCAAAACTAAAAAACAACTGAATAGTTGAAAATTACATTGAAATAATTTAATTTGTCGAAATTTGGTTAAACTGTTTCAATAGTTGCAACAAAAATGACACTAAAGTTGCATCAACATGAAAATATTCGTGCTAACGTTAAGGGACAAAGGGTGGTCACTTCAACAATTTGCCAGTTTTACAAGGTTTTCAAGTTGGCTTTAGACAGACGTTTGTAATTTGCAGACCACAGTTTATCTTGCAGATTGGCACTTAAAAATGTTCAAACCACTCCCTAATTTGGTTTTTCCTTATTTCTCTACACGTGAACTGCTGACACCAAATTTTAGGGTGTTTCGAGAAGCCCTTAAAAACCATTCTCAGAACAGACTTGCAGACTGTGGCTTAAAAATACTCTAATCAAGTTAAAATTCGACACTCGCTAGTTTTTCAATATGAGATTATCGATGCAAAATTTCAGCCTTTTCGGAGAAACTCTCAAAAATCATCTCCAAAACAGCCTTGCAGACTGGGGGTGAAAAATACTCCAGTCAAGTCAAAATTCGATATTTGCTTATTTCTCAATACGACGATTGTTGACGCAAAATTTCAACCCGTTCGGTAGAACAGTTAAAAACTACCCCCAA